TGATGATTTTAATTGGTTTGAATTTCTTTTTATTTCTTTTATTTGAAATGGGTTGCTTTATTTTGGAGTTTGGTTTCATTTCAGTTTAATCGGTTTTAAATTGAAATTGTTTAATGGTGAATTAAAGGTAAATTAAATTTTGTTTGGTTTTTATTAAAGCTAACAGTTTTTGATTAGAATAATCAATGATAATAATCATTAATTATAAGCAAATAATTATAAGCAAATAATTATATATTTATGTATATATTATACTTTATATATAATTAATTATTAATTAGAAGAAATAATCATTAATCACTTATTTCATCTAATAAACAAAAATCACACATTTAACGACTTTAGTAAAAAATCAATTATTTCTTTAATATTCTTGATTAATTAGAATAATTTCTTTATTAATTATCATAAGAAACCATCATTAGTCAATTATTTTATCTTCTAATAAAGAAGAGCCACCCATTTAACAGCTTTAATAAATTAAATACATTAAATATAATAAATATATAAAAGAAATTAGATATATTAAATATATTAAATAAATTAAATATATTAAATAAATATATTAAATAAATTAAAGAAATTAAGATAAATTAATTAAATAAATAAAATTAAATAAAATAAATAAAATTAAACAAACAAAAAAATTAAATCAATAAAATTAAATAAATTAAATCAAATAAATTAAATCAATAAAATTAAATAAATTAAATCAAATAAATTAAACACAAATAAAATTAACTAACTAAATAAATTAATTATATTAAATACATTAAATAATATATTAAATAATATATAAATATATTAAAGAATTTTAATAAATCAAATAAACACATAAATAAAATCAATTAAATATATAAATATATTAAAAACATTCTAAACATTAAATAAATTAAATAAATCACATAAATGAAACATCAATAAAATAAATAAATAAATAAAATATATTAAATACATTATAGACATTAAATAAATTAAAGAAATCACATAAACATAAATAAAATAAATAAATAAAATATATTAAATACATTATAAACATTAAATAAATTAAAGAAATCAAAGAAATTAAACACATAAATAAAATTAATTAGATAAATAAATTTGGGCTGGAATTCCCTCATTTTGCCTTTTCAGTGACATTAAAAAATTTTTTTAAAAACTTTCAAAAATCAACGTTTAAAACATTTTTCTTGGAATGGGAATGAATTCATTGGAATTTTCTGGAATCCCGTGGGATCCCGGCCTTCCCCCACCTCACTCCTGCTGCTCCTCGTTGCTGGCGCTCGGGGTCCGGCTCCGGATTTGGCTGCGGAGCTGCTCGATCAGCTCGGGGTTCTGCTGCTGCATCTGCTGCGCGAACTGCTGGCCCCTGCATGGGGACACGGGACACGGGGACATGGGGACCGTGAACTGCTGGCCCCTGCATGGGGACACGGGACACGGGGACATGGGGACATCAGGGACCATGAACTGCTGGCCCCTGCATGGGGACACGGGACACGGGACACGGGGACATGGGGACATCAGGGACACATGGACATCAGGGACCGTGAACTGCTGGCCCCTGCATGGGGACACGGGGACATCAGGGACATGGGGACATCAAGGACTGTGAACTGCTGGCCCCTGCATGGGGACACGGGGACACGGGGACATCAGGGACACATGGACATCAGGGACACATGGACATGAGGGACCGTGAACTGCTGCCCCTGCATGGGGACACGGGGACATGGGGACACACGGACATCAGGGACATGGGGACATCAGGGACACACGGACATGGGGACATTGGGGACCATGAACTGCTGGCCCCTGCGGACACACGGACATCAAGGATAGAGGGACACGGGGACAGTGGGACGTGCGGGTATGGGGACAGACTGACATCAGGGACATGGGGACAGCAGGGACACTGGAGACACGGGGACACTGGACACCAGTGAGAAGTCCTTGGTGACACAGGACAGAGACACCAGGGACAGGACAGGGGACACAGGACAGGGGACACAGGGGACACAGGACAGGGGACACAGGCAACAGCCTGGGACATTCCCAGCCCTGGATCCAGGATTGTTCCCCGGGATTGTCCCCAGGATTGTCCCCTCAGATTGTTCCCTGGGATTGTCCCCCCAGGATTGTCCCCAGGATTGTTCCCAGCCTGTCCCCAGCACTGTCCCCATTGTGTCCCCAGCCTGTCCCCAGCACTGTCCCCAGCACTGTCCCCATTGTGTCCCAGCCTGTCCCCAGCCTGTCCCCATTGTGTCCCCATTGTGTCCCCATTGTGTCCCCGCCTGTCCCCAGCCTGTCCCCAGCCTGTCCCCATTGTGTCCCCGCCTGTCCCCAGCCGCGCTCACGCCTGGATCAGGCTGGCCAGGTCGTTGGTGTTGGGGCTGCTCCCGGCCGCTCCCATGGCGTTGTGACCTCCCGAGATCATCCCGGACATTCTGGGAGGGAAGAAAAGGAGGAAAAATCCCAAAAAATCCTGAAAAATCCCAAAGAATCCTGAAAAATCCCAAAAAACCCTGAAAAATCCCAAAGAATCCTGAAAAACCCTGAAAAATCCCAAAGAATCCCCAAAAATCCCAAAAAATCCCGAAAAATAAAAAAAAAAAATCCCAAAGAATCCCCAAAAATCCCAAAGAATCCCAAAGAATCCCAAAAAATCCCAAAGAATCCCAAAGAATCCCAAAAAATCCCAAAGAATCCCAAAAAATCCCAAAGAACCCCAAAGAATCCCAAAAAATCCCAAAGAATCCCAAAAAATCCCAAAGAATCCCAAAGAATCCCAAAGAATCCCAAAAAAAATCCCAAAGAACCCCAAAGAATCCCAAAAAATCCCAAAGAATCCCAAAAAATCCCAAAGAATCCCAAAGAATCCCAAAGAATCCCAAAGAATCCCAAAAAATCCCAAAGAATCCCGAAAAATCCCAAAGAATCCCAAAAAATCCCGAAGAATCCCAAAAAAATCCCAAAGAATCCCAAAAAATCCCAAAAAATCCCAAAAAATATCAAAAAAATCCCCAAAAAAATCCCAAAGAATCCCAAAAAAATCCCAAAGAATCCCAAAAAATCCCAAAGAATCCCGAAAAATCCCAAAAAAATCCCAAAAAAATCCCAAAAAATCCCAAAATATCCCAAAGAATCCCAAAGAATCCCAAAAAATCCCACAGAATCCCAAAGAATCCCCAAAAAAAACCCCAAAGAATCCCAAAAAATCCCAAAGAATCCCAAAAAATCCCAAAGAATCCCAAAAAATCCCAAAAAATCCCAAAGAATCCCAAAAAAATCCCAAAGAATCCCAAAGAATCCAAAAAAATCCAAAAAAATCCCAAAAAACCCCAAAGAATCCCAAAGAATCCCAAAAAATCCCAAAGAATCCCAAAGAATCCAAAAAAACCCCAAAAAACCCCAAAGAATCCCAAAGAATCCCAAAAAATCCCAAAGAATCCCAAAGAATCCCAAAGAATCCCGAAAAAAATCCCAAAGAATCCCAAAAAATCCCGAAAAATCCCAAAGAATCCCAAAAAATCCCAAAAAATCCCAAAAAATCCCAAAGAATCCCAAAAAAATCCCCAAAAAATCCCCAAAAAATCCCAAAGAATCCCAAAGAATCCCCCAAAATCCCAAAGAATCCCAAAGAATCCCAAAAAATCCCAAAGAATATCAAAAAATCCTAAAGAATATAAAAAAAAATCCCAAAAAAACCCCAAAGAATCCCAAAAAATCCCGAAAAATCCCAAAAAATCCTGAAAAATCCCAAAGAATCCCCAAAAAATCCGAAAGAATCCCAAAAAATCCCAAAAAATCCCAAGAAATCCCCAAAAATCCCAAAAAAATCCCAAAGAATCCCAAAAAATCCCCAAAAATCCCAAAAAAATCCCAAAGAATCCCAAAGAATCCCAAAAAATCCCAAAAAAATCCCAAAAAATCCCGAAAAATCCCAAAGAATCCCAATCCAGAGGGTCCCTCCCTCCTCCCCCAGGCCTGGCCTGAGCATTCCCTGGATTTAGGAATTTATTCATTTTCCTGGAATATCTTGAACTGCTCCTCACAGCCATCCAGGAATGGGAATATTCCCATTCCAGCTGAGCTGGGAAATCCCGGGATCCCATCAAAAAGCCAATTCCAGGGCCATGATCCATGATCCATCCCATCCCAGCTCCCTCTGGAATGTTTTCATTCCAACCCCTCTCCCAGCCCTTCCCAGAGCTCCCAAAGCGCCCCAGCTCAGGGAACCTGAGCTTCCCAACCCCCTCCACATTCCAGGCCCAAATTCCCTCCTGTTCCCACGGGGAAAGGCCAAAGCCACGGAGAGAGCGAGCCTGGAGGGAGGAATTCCCGGAGGGAATAAAGAAAAGCGGGATCCAACTCACAGCTGTTGGACTTGGGGGTTGTTCATGAGGTTTGAGGCCTGTGGGGAACAAAAAATGACAGAGCGGGATCAACCCCCAAGGGAAAGCCTTGGGAATCCCTGGGAATCCTTGGGAATCCTTGGGAATCCTTGGGAATCCTTGGGAATCCTTGGGAATCCCTGGGAATCCTTGGGAATCCTTGGGAATCCTTGGGAATCCCTTGGGAATCCCTGGGAATCCCTGGGAATCCCTTGGGAATGCTTGGGAATGCTTGGGAATCCCTGGGAATCCCTGGGAATCCCTGGGAATCCCTGGGAATGCTTGGGAATCCCTGGGAATCCCTGGGAATCCTTGGGAACCCTTGGGAATCCTTGGGAATCCTTGGGAATCTTTGGGAATCCCTTGGGAATCCCTGGGAATCCCTGGGAACCCCTTGGGAATCCTTGGGAATCCCTGGGAATCCTTGGGAATCCTTGGGAATCCTTGGGAATCCCTGGGAATCCTTGGGAACCCTTGGGAATCCCTGGGAATCCTTGGGAATCCTTGGGAACCCTTGGGAATCCCTGGGAATCCCTGGGAATCCTTGGGAATCCTTGGGAATCCCTGGGAATCCTTGGGAATCCTTGGGAATCCTTGGGAATCCCTGGGAATCCTTGGGAATCCCTGGGAATCCTTGGGAATCCTTGGGAATCCCTGGGAATCCTTGGGAACCCCTTGGGAATCCTTGGGAATCCTTGGGAATCCCTTGGGAATGCTTGGGAATCCCTGGGAATCCTTGGGAATCCTTGGGAATCCTTGGGAATCCTTGGGAATCCTTGGGAATGCTTGGGAATCCTTGGGAATCCTTGGGAATCCCTGGGAATCCTTGGGAATCCCTGGGAATCCCTGGGAATCCCTTGGGAATCCTTGGGAATCCTTGGGAATCCCTGGGAATCCCTGGGAACCCTTGGGAATCCTTGGGAATCCTTGGGAATCCCTGGGAATCCTTGGGAATCCGGGAAAAAGGGGGAAAGAAGAGCAAAGGTCGAGCCTGGAGCAGCCCAAGCCATTCCAGAGCCCGTGGAAAGCCTGAGGAGAAATTCCCGGCTTTGTCGGAGCTGGAGGGAACAGCAGGAGCTTCCACACAGCTCCAGGGACCGGGAAAAGCTCCCAGAGAGGCTCCAGGCCGAGGAATTCCAGCTGGCTCCATCCATTCCAGCCAGGAAAAGCTCCCAGAGTGGCTCCAGCCCAAGGAATTCCAGCTGGGAAAAGCTCCCAGAGAGGCTCCAGCCCAAGGAATTCCATGTGGGGAGACACTGGGGCTCCCAGAGAGGCTCCATCCCGAGGAATTCCATGGAAGGAGACATTTGGGCTCCCAGAGAGGCTCCATCCTGAGGAATTCCATGGAAGGAGACATTGGGGCTCCCAGAGAGGCTCCAGCCCAAGGAATTCCATGTGGGGAGACACCAGCGCTCCCGGAGCAGCCCCAATCCCGAGGAATCCCGGGATCTGGAATT